ACTCTTCACATTTTTTTAAAATTACCGAATTTCCCGGTTTTTGACTCAAAATTTATTTTAATGGCTAAGTAAAGCATGTTGTCGCTTAAGACTTTTTTTAAAGTTGATAACTTTTAATTGGCCAGAAAGAGGACTCTCCACAGCTTTTAGGACACTTTTGTTATGAAATGTAAGTTTTTACTCGAAACTAGATGTTAAAAAAATTTTTTTTTTCAAATTCTCTTTTTTTATAATCTACAAATTTTACCCTAATATACACATACACATGTGTAGCCTTTCATTACTCGATTAAGTCTTTGTTCGAAAATTATAATTGGACCTATATATTATATAATACAGCAATATGAGACGATCAGCTGATTAAGTGCGTGCATGTTCATGTTGTTTGTAATTTTAGGGGCAAAATTATTCCCACTTAGGGAATATACAACTTTTGAATTGCATCTTGTATGCAAGTTATTAAAAAAAAAAACAGAAAAAATGTTAATTTCGGTTGCACCGAGGCAAAAGAAAATACAAGAACTTGATTCCGATTTAATTTCGTGAATATAAATCGTCAAATAAAAAAGTTTTTCATGCAAACACTTTATTCCGATCGTTCAGTTAATATTAATAGTTATCCGATCTATACAATTTCTTCAGAGGTTACATTGTTGACTTAGGAAATAACTCTTGCCAAATTTCGTTCCGACAAATGAGCAGCTTCTTAAAGATTATATAATTTTTAGCTAATTAATTGATATTTCTAAAAAAATTTTAAATAATAAAATTGAATAATATTATAAACCTGTATCGTTTTGCCTATACAATGACCAACGACTTTTAATAAAAATAGACATATAAAATGACAGACTTTAGAAAGAAATATCCAATGCTCAAAACTGAAATGCTCTTTGGCCCAGCAAACACATCAATAAACTGGAAGGTTATTTTACGGAGAAATAAATATCGAAAAATAAAAAAATCAAAGTGATCGTCTGATTTATTTTCGAGTTACAATTGCGGACAATTTAAAAAATGCAGTTTTGAGAAAAATGCATTTAAAGATAAATTCTTTGAAATAAGAGGCTATCCTTTAGAAAGTTGTAACTCAAATTTATTTGAAATATTTACTTAAAATGTTAGTACGTGATTTTTTTTACTATCGAAATATCCAACAATAAAAAAGAAAAGTGTGTTTTTCCCATTTTGACAGTAGATGTGTTCTTTGAGCTCTGCTCAATCTAAGCATAGTATGATCCCACGATTTCAGCTTACATGGCCAAAAGTGGATCGATACCTACTCTACTTGTCAACTTAATGATCTTTTTATGCGAAAGTAGTTCGAAAGTTAATGTATTTGCTCCTTTTTTTCTATATTGGATAAAGAAGAAAGATAAGGAGGTCTAGAGGTGAGCGAGGTCAAGGTCAAAAAGTTCGACAAAAGCGCTGTAACAACTAGTCACAGTCATAACTACAAAATTACGATCCCGACTATATTAGAGCGCTCTCTAAAAAATGTTCTTGCATTGAAAAAATCAAGCAAAAAAGAACTTGCAAGTATGAAGCGCTTTCCTATAAAATACAATTTCAACAATAGAAATAATTGCCTTACTATCAACGAAGTATCTCACATTTCATGTTCTATTAGTCACACTCAGCGTAGGAGAAACAAGTTTTTGGTAGTTTAGTGCCAATAGGATTGTTGTCGAAATCACAATATACTATACATAAATTTACTGTTAGCATATAAAATTATATATTTACACTATTTGGAGAAACGCAGCGAAGTATTCACCCCTATATTTGCTTTGACAATCGGGACAATTGATCATTTGTTCTTTCGTCTCACTCGACGGTGCTTTTGTTTCCTAAATAAATTTTGTACAACTAAGCCACTTGTCAATATTCATGCCACTTAAGTCAATTACTAAGTCCTACTTAATACACTTAAGTCCTACTATACTCATCTATACAAGCGCACAATACAAATACAAACAAACCTTACAATATAAATACATCTAAAGCGAATCGCGTGGAGTAGACATGCAATTGCTTAAACAGATACCCTGTTAATTAGTGTGTATGTATGTATGTAGTGTGAAGGCATTCATTGCAGCTCTTGTTAAAGCATTTGCAAATGAATGCTTGTTCATTGGCAATTCTGTTGTTATCATCGTTGTTAAACGCTTTGCTGTGAATATAAACGCTTTTGCTCCCTGGCAGCCATGCTGCATATTGTGTTCGACAATCTTGTTAACATCAGAGCTCGCAAATGCATTTCCATGTGATTAAATATATGTATAAATAATGAATGTCAAGTGTAACCAATATTGCATTTACTTGTACTATTTTACATTGTCATTTCTTTGTCAAATGGTTTATAAATAATTTGGACAATTTGGTGAACAATACATCAAATGTAAATGGTAATATCTTTGGAACATAAAAAGGGTTATTTTAAACTTTTAATTGTTAATAAAATTTTAGTAAATTTATTATAAGTCGAACAAGTATATATATGAATTTTGAATAATATATATATATAGGTATATAGCAAACATCTGTTAGCAAAATCAAGTTCTTGTATTGATACGACAAATGAGTAGCTTCTGGGGGAGAAAACGACGTTTGAAAAATTTTAGACCGATATCTCAAAAATAATTTATAGGGTATCCGACGTTTCTTTCAGGATATTACAAACTTGGTGGCAAACTTAATATACCCTGTTCAGGGTATACAAAAATATTCTCATAGTACAAGGGGGCACGCAAACGATATCGATGAATCAGTGACGATATAGGAAGTTCTTTGAAGTTTTTGCAAATTTATTTGTAAGGTCTAGTAAAAGAACACCGTTATTTTTTCGGTAACCCTCCCTTGTATAAATGCTGAAAGAAAATATATCGTATAAGATATAACTCTCATACAGTTTTGTAACCATTTTACTTAGTATTGTTTAAGCACACGTCAAAAACGGAAAAATAAATATACATATTTTACAGTTTTTCGTCGATAAAGGCTAAAAAACAAATCAAGCGGCTGAACTGAGAAAAATATTTGTGATCCTGATACTGTAACGCACTATTTTGCTTTCATCAATTCCGTTCTGGTGATTTTGATGTCTAAGATGCAGCTTTGGAAGGCCAATTGGCAAAAATATCGATAAAATGATGAAAATCATCGACTCTAACTGTCATGTAAACCCTGTTTCGATTTCCCAGGAGCTAAATATTGCACAAAACACTGTTTGGCACTATTTAACAAGGGTGAATACACAAAAAAATCCGTTGTACGGGTGCCACACGAAAAAAATCTGTTGAATCGATTTTTCATCTGCTAATTGCTGCTGAAACGTAACAAAATCGATACGTTCGGGTATTTTCGATGAAAAGTGGGTATTTTACGACAATGTTAAATGGAATTGGTTGTGGTCGAGTCGTGTTTCATCAGGACAATGCCAGGCCACACTCATCGCTAGCGTCTCGCCAAAAGCTCCGAAAGTTTAATACACCTTAAGCTACGGTTTTGGCACCAAGTGATTACTATGTGTTCTTGTCTTTCACGAATGCATATACGAGTTTTAATTATAAATTTAATTTCTTATAAACAAATATTGTAAGCACAAACCATTCTAATTTGTGCAATACACACTCAGCATAATACACATATTTATAAATAATGACATAATTAACGTAAGTAATACTTACCACAAATTTAGATGCACTTAATAAAATACTTCCCCTCTATTACTTACTTTTTATACTGAACACATGACTTAATTATACCACAATCATATAGAAATACAATGAATGGCATTGCGGTTTGCAATGAAACAATTTCCCACACCGCCTTCCCTCAATATGAAGCAACTGCACTGTATAAAACTGTGTGGATTTTATATGGCAGCTTCAATATCTTGCCACCAAACACTCACCAAACAACTATGGTTCTTTTGGTAGCTTGAACTTGCCAAGAAATTCAGCAGCAAGCGGCACTTATCCAAATTATAATAACTGCCACTCTACACAAACACAACTACAAAAATATTTCAAACGTTTTTTGCGCAGCCTCCGACCAAAAACCGTTACACAATAAGCGGCGTGTGATCGTGCAACGGCAAAAGAAAGCGCCTGGGGCAGATCACAGAGGCTGGCCAAACTTGCAATAAACCGCAAACTGGAAATAAAAAATACAATAACAGCAACTGTAGTGAATGAGCGCTTGATAATAGTTTGCTTTATGCGCTGCAAGATTTATGCGTCGCTGCTGGCAGCTGGGTCGCCAGCGTGCCGCGACTATTTTGGGGACAATGGAGCGAACGATAACTGCCGGCGGTTGCCGGGGGGCAACACCAGGGGGTTGTGAAGCGCCACTACTAGTGCAAGGCAGGAAGTAATGCAATGCCATATTTTGTTGACACTTGTGTTTGGTGGAGCGGCGCGGCGCGAAGTGTTTGGCATGTTGTAGTTGCAGAATTTTAATTGAAATTTTCGTAACAAACGGCGCGACACCCACGAATAGCTGTGGCGCCTGCTATAGACTGCACAAATTCTCCTTAGCCGCGGCATGCAATACCGTTACAAATGGCCGTTACATAAATATGCGCTCGCATTTGTCTGGCATCACGCATCAAGCTTTTTGTTCGTTTGCAGTGGTGCTTTAGCAGCGCTTATTGCCTTTCACTAAATTTATTGTGTTTGGTAGTTTCTTAACAAAAACAAAAAAAAAAAAAACGAAAAAAAGAAAAGAAAAATATATAACATACCAAAAAAATAAAAAATGGTTCTTTCCGTTTCGAATTGAAAACGCAATTTTTGTTTTTATTTTCTTCATATTGACCATTAATTGCTTTTATTTATTTCATTTTCTGCATTTAATTTACGTCTATTTACTTTTTGTCGCTTACACAATTCGCCATACACTTTCTTAGGTTTCATCTTAGTAATTAAAGCCAACTTAATTAGAAATCTCTAACGTATTCACTATTTTGCTTCATTCTAACATATTTATTTTAATTATTTTTTTTTTTGGTTAGTATCATAAGTGTGTATGTGTATGTGTGGTGGTTGTTTGTGGTGTATTTATCTTCGTGTATGTGTGAGATATGTATTTATTTAAATATTTCATGATTTAGAGAGCAAACTCTATACTATACTTCCTAGCACGTTTTGATATATTTTATAAAAACAAAAAGTTATTGAGAAAAAATATTGGTATGCAATTTTTTTAACTTAAGTGATGAAAAATTTTACTTTTATTTTACTAAAAAGTCCATCGTTTTACGAGATCTGTTAAAATTTTATCCGAATTGCTATTTTCTGATATTTTTCACCACTATTTTACAAAATTAAGCTGGATAGTTCGTTTTACAAATTATCCTTTTAAAGCATAAGAACATTATACTAAACATTTGTTAAAACCTCGAAAATATTTTTAAAGTATTTATATCGTTACATACTGGCGTTATTGTGATCTTGTTATTGTATTACCATATGTTTTATTTCGTTTATTCCTTTTATCTAGATAGCCAAAAATTATAAATTATTCAGTTGTTCGAATAACTGGATTTGTAGTAAGTCTTCAGAGATTGGAATTTTCTGTTATTTCGGATAGTTAAAATATTAAAATATGTACATTGAGTCCTGGTTCTTATCTGTGCAATATATATTGTTCGACAATTTAATCCCAATAGCATAATTTGGGTTTTTCAATATTCAAGAAATACTTATCTAAAATTTCAAAAGGCCCAGTAGTTATCAGTGGTGTAACTGTTGACGTACACCACAGTATTCGTCGAAATTTCTTTTTCATCTAAACGCTTTCTTAATTCATTCTCCTTTAAGATTTGATTTCATGAAGGTTTGAATAAAACTCTGCATGACGATTTTGTATTCGACCTGCTCTTAGCTTATTAAGCTTTAAAAATCAATGTTATTTGTTGTAATTAAGCCTTCTCACATTTGTGTTTTTTTTTAAATGTAAGATAGCATTACATATAGATACATTCTCATTTGAGATATGATGAAAGTTTCATGAAGGCTCTCGAATTCAAGAGCTTTTATCTATATCTTAGTGAGCTTCTTAAGCTTTTAAATTTGGTTAAAGTTTTATGAAAGGTTTCGAATTCGAAATCGAAGATTTTATTTCTATACCAAGCGAGCTCTTTAAGCTTTTAAAATCAATGTATAATTATAGCAAAATAATTACGCTTTTTTCTAAGTGCTTTTTTAAGGCGTTCTAATATGCAATATGATGAAAGTTTCATGAAAGCTTTTGAATTCGAATTTACTTTCAGCTTTTTAAACTGTAAAAAACAATGTTATTTGTTAAAATTACGCTTTCTCACTAGTGTTTTTTTTTTCTAAATGGCAGATTTGATGAAAGCTTCATGCAAGCTTTTGAATTCAAAAACTTTTATCTCAAAGCTAAGTGAGTTTTTTAAACTCTGATATATGATGAAAGTCTCATAACAGCTTTCGAATTCAAAAGCTTTGAATTCTATAGTAGGTGAGCTCGTTAAGCTTTTAAAATCAATGTTATTTGCTATTTATTACGCTTATTCACTTTTTCTTCCAAATGCTATCTTAATGTATTCTCACTTGAGGTTTATTGTAAGCTTCGTGAAAGTTCTCAAATTCAAAAGCTTTCGTATCCATACCAAGCGAACTTTAAAAACTATTTTATTTGTTATAATTACGTTTTCTCACTCTCTTGAAGGTTTACATTTTTCTAAAGTGACTCGAACCGACTCTGAGAAGATAAATCCGAATAATCAGATAATATTTGGCTTTAAAAGTCGTCAAGGTTAATCGAGAATTATTTTGGCAAATTCACAACTGCTAAATCAGTTTTTATATTAAATAAAACAACAACAAAATTATGTTTTTTATAAATAATATACAGCTCACTCAAGTATATAAACAATGCTGGCGTTTCATAAATTGAATTAAGTTTTAATTTTATTTTGAAATTTTGACGAGTGTGTATGTGTGTGACTATGCAATGTGTTTGGCTGTGTATATTTGGGTTGGTGTGCGTCTGCATTTGTATAGGTGCATAACGTATTTGATTTATCAGTATGCAATTTAAATATTTTTATTTATTATTTGCTATCATCCAGCTTTTGTGTTTGTGTTTGTAACTCATAATATTTTAGTATCTAGTTTCCGTTTGTTTAAACGCTTGTTATTTGGTTGAGCTGTTGTATGTAACTATATAGATGTATATGTTATGTATATATTTTTGAGTTTTTTTTTTACCTTTACTTTAATATCGAATAAACCGTTTATAGATATAATTATATAAATAATTGCTATTGGATATTGAGTAGTTTGCTTTTGCTCACACTAGCGCTAACAAATTCCATTTCATTTACCACATCATATTAAATTCGTCTAATATTTCTACTGTAACGTTTTCAATTGCTTTTTTTATTACTATTTTATTTCACTTTTTTCTTTCTTTTTTATTAACGGCCCAATAAGCAATTTTGCTTCAAATATATGTATATGTATTTACATGGGTTTTTAGGTTGCTGCAATAATTTTGTGATTTTCTGGCTGGCAAGCGAGATTTTCTATATGTTTATATATTCTGTATATTATGCGCCCGTAGCAGAGGATGCGAGTACTAACTGTATTTTCTTTTTTTGGTAAAGCGCGTAATTTTTACGTTTCCGGCGTTTTAGAAGTATCTATGCATATAGTATATAGCGCTTGGTGTGTTAAGCCTTAACATGTATGTATATATATTTAGTAGCATATGTGTAACTACACATATGTATTGCACATCCAAACAGTTTATCATTCGCGCTACTTGCAACATTTGCTGCGTTAATTTAGGTTAATCTATGTTTTAGTTTTAGTTTCCAGGCTCTTTTTTACATATGTATATGTGTGTATGTATATGTTTATTTGCCTTAAGATTTGTATAATATACATAAGCATTTGCTATATATATTTTTATATCAACGAACTGCTATATAATTGCGCTCAAGCAATTGCTTTTCATATCTTTCAACTATAAGTTTGTGATTTTTTAAATATAATTATATATTTATACATATATATATTTATACATATATATATTTATTACATATAAATAAAATTAAGCAATTTACTAGTTACATAGTTAATGACAAACGCAAAGATATCGCCAATGAAAACGATTTTGCGCTGAGGAAGACTTAATTTCATGATTGTGACCATTTTTAGCTTTTCTTTCATTTAATTATTTTTTATCGCTTTGCATTTTCTCTCGTTTATTGAAGCATGTCTCATGCGTTTTTCAATTCATTACGCAATTATTGTTCGATTTGCATTGGAAATTACGCGCAAGCTGCAGTTTGCATACACCTTTAACTCACGCATACCCATACCAGCAGACACACACACACACACACACAGGCACGCGCCTTAGCAAGCGTCCGATTTTGTGTTCAAATACATCCGCTATTGATATTCGCATTACAATGGCAGTGTCGCCACAATCGTTTCCGTTTCCGGTTACATATCCGCCAAAGCGATAATAACGGCGTTTGCACTTGCTCATTGCCATTACATTTGCAAAAATCGGTCGTTCATATGTGTGTGTGTGTGTGTGGAAGTTTACTGTCATTCTACGATAAATGGTCATGCGGCAAATAGATTTATTCGCATTCGTTATACTAAAGTATTAACTGTACAATTTACGTTAAATGCTTTTATTTACATGGCTGTATGCCTTTTACTTGTTTTTATTGTGTGTGTGTTATATGTACATGTGTATGCGTTTTGTTAACCTAGTGAAACATACTCGTTTTTATTTATGTTGGTAGGCGTGCATGTTTGTTGTATTAATATATTGCGTTATACTGGATAATATATACCTATGTATGCTTGTTTGCAGGTTTTTCTATCGATTTGTTAGCTCAGTAGCAGATTACAATATTTAACACCTGATAACTACAGAACATTTTTTATTGATACCTACATGTTACTTTTATGGCTCATTTATTATTTACACATTGGTTGTTGTTTTTCAGAATTTTAAATTTAGAGGATTTCAGAGATAAATTAAGTTCAAAGAAAAATGCTTCTATTTTTTTTGATTTTTTAACTAATTTTCCTTTATTCAATTAATAGGTTTTAATTTTATTTTTAGTACTATAGTTCTAATTATTTGATTTAATTAAATTAAATTTTTTATACTTTACTTTATTATTTCTTTACTTTATTTTACTTTATTTTATTTTATCTTATTTTTATTTACTTATTTTGTTTTATTTTATTTTATATTCTTTTATTTTTTTTACTTAATTTTATTTAATTTAATTTAATTTAATTTTATATTTCATTATATTTTTTTTTATTTTATCTGATTTTATTTTATTTTATATTATTTTATTTTATATTCTTTTATTTATTTTACTTAACTTTATTTAATTTAATTTAATTTAATTTTTTATTTCATTATATTTTATCTTATTTTTTTCATTTTATCTTATTTTATTTGTTTTATTTTATTTTATATTCTTTTATTTATTTTTTTTTACTTTACTTTACAGTATGAAATTTAATTTTTTTTTCACTTTACTTTATTTTGTTGTATATTCTTTTATTTTATTAAATTTTATTTTATTTTATTTTATATTCCATTATATTTTACTTTACTTTATTTTAAATTAGTTGATTTAATTTAATTAAATTAAATTTTTTTAATTTTAATTAAATTTTATTGTATTTTATTTTGTTAATTTTATATTTCATTTATTTTATTTTTTTACAGAAAATTTTAAGTTTATTTAACTTTAACTTAATTTTATTATTTTAAAAATAATTTGATTTAACTTTAGTTATTGTTTTATTATTATTAATTATTTATATAATTTAAGAGTATTTACTTTAATATTGTTATTTATAGTTATGATTTTTTATGCTGTTTGTTATCAAAAAAAAAAAATAAAAAAACAAAAAACGCCCACGGTCACAAAATTTTGTGTATTTTAAAATCTTACCAAAAATATGAACTAACCTAGTCAGTAAGGAAATACTATTCAGAATAAGAGAACTTTCTTCTCTGACAAAAAAAAAAGACTTCTTTATTTAGCCTATGTGCATAAACTTTCACCACTTTCTCTGTCTCCTCGCCCACAGGAATATTCTTAGAAATTGTTGCCTACATATTGGAGCATTTAACTTAGGTTCGGGTGAACCAGAGAGAGCGATAGTAAAAAAAATGGGAAAAATATCAATTATAATATGCAGTTGTATTTAAGCTCTCAGTTAAGTATTGAAAAAAGTATTGTTTAGCAAAATCAGATTTAATAAAAAAATAAGACAAATATTTTAATTGCTTTAAAAGGAGCTACAAATTTCCTAAGCCTAATCAATAAATAATACTGATCTAGCAAAAACCTTTTAAAAGCTAATCCAATATGAATTGTTCAAGTTCGAAAAAAAAACTTGTGGTTGTCAATCTTTACTGCTAACTTTCGGCATGGTCTTTTATGAAAATATTTATTGGTTTTATTATTTTTAATTATACTTGAAATATATTAAATTATATGCGTTTTTTTTTAATAGAAATCTAAATAATATTTTATTAATCGAATTAAAAAAAAAATCCTCACTTGATATTTTAATAGTTTTTTTGCCATAGTATTGCATCTATTATATAGGTATACGTAGAGTTCATAGCTTTTTTAATTTGCCGTTACTGTATACAAGTTTTTGAATAGATATGTACGCACATGTGTTCATCCATTTTAATTAAATATTTTATATTTTCCGTTATACACATACTATATACATTTTTTTTATAAAAAGCAGTCATTGGAAAATATATAAAAAAATATTTAATATATTGTGCAAAAATTATACAAAATCATGATATTAAGGACAGGCCTTGCTGTCTGCCCACTGAGATCTCCTCCCTTGCATACTTTATTATTTGTTAATATTGACTAACTCATTAACTCAATAATGTAGTAATAAATTTTTAATTTGTTTCACTAGTTTTTTCTGCTTTGTTTTAACTAATATATACAGTTAATGTGTAGCAATATTACTTTGTTAAGTTTTTTACGGTTAATAATTAAACGCTCATATATCAAGTAATATGTTTGTGTGTGTTTCTGTAAACGTGTAAATATTTAGGTGTACAAATTGATATGTTTTGTTATTAATTTTTTAATTTTATCATTATTTTACGAATATTCGTAATATTTATTACATATTTGTATTTTCTTGTAAAACCTTGGTTGGGTTGGTTGAATAAATAGTTGTTGAAATAAAAAAAAACTTCAATAAGCCTTTAGGCATAAATGTTGGTACAAGAGAGTTGTAAATATATAATCGTTAATAATTAAAAATGAGTTACATGTTTTAAATTTTAAAGTAATAAAAACCAACATAAGAATATGTAAATTTATACTACTATATAAATATATTTATTATCAATATATTTAATTACGTAATTACAATAATTTTGTGTACAACTTTTAATAAATTTTATAAAAGCATGCTTGTAACTAATTCACATAATTTTATAAATATGCAACTGTACAATACTTTAAAGTTTAAACCTCATATTGATGAACCGTAACTTAATCATTTGAAAAATTTAATTGAGCAAACGAAGTAGATAATGCAGGCAATTGAATGAGAAATAAAATTCATTATTATTGTGAAAAAGCCACAGTGTGTTGAAAACACAATACGGAATTTTTTATAAATAAAATTTTATTTTTATTGTAACTTAGATATATAATATTATTAATATAAAAAGATAATTTAAACAAAAAAAAAAATGTTTCCCATTAGTCCAAATTTCTAAGTTTATATTTGACTTCAATATGTATAAATTTTGGTTCTATTTGAAAATGTTCAGCAACTTTGAAAGTAAACTTTTTCTCTTTGCTGCTCTTTCGCACAACTCGTTTTGCGCAAAAGAACAATCGCTGTCAACATATTTTTCCGCTCCACTGTTCATGGCAAACGAATTATTATTGAAATTTATTGACACACTTTAAATTGACCACAGATGGATGTTGGCCACAACGTGTCGGTTACAGCTGTCGTATTTCAACGCTTGCTGCACTTTGAAATCATTAACATTGGTTGCATAAAAAATTTAATATAATTTAAATATATAAGTTGGCGGTTTGAAGTCAAAGAACGAGAAAACTATAACTGATAAATAAAGACTTAATTCAAAATAATTGAATTATAAATAACATTGGTAAGTAAAGATATACGTGAAAATTTATAAAAATCTAATCAAAAATTTTGATATAATAAAAATCAAGTACAGCAAATATTAAGTGAACAGTTTTAATACATTTCAATATTCAAGTTTACACCAATAACGCAATCAGTGCAGAAACTTTATGCATGTTCCCCACACTTTAAATTTCTCAATATAATAAACTCATAAATTTCAAATAAGCAAGTATTTCAAAAAACAAAAAATAAAAAAATATATTTATATACTATATATATTTTATTAATTATTTCTTTTTCCTTAGCTATTTTACTTTTATTCTTGCTTTCGCCTACTCTATATTTTACACTTTTACAGCTTTTTAACTTCGAATATTCTTTAAGTTTGTCTGTCGTAAATGCCTGCTTATGCTAGTTGATTCTTTAAGAGTATTATTATCATTTTTTTCAATAGTTTATTATATAGACAGCAGTTTGTATAAAAATTCATTATCTTTTTCATTATATTTATATGTGTGAACTTATATACAAATATTTGTAACCTTTTATATAACTATTATATCATAAATATTTATATATTTATTTATATATGATTAAACGTAAGGTAAAAATTATTAATTATAGTTGTACGTATCTCCTTCGAACAATTTTAGTATTATAGAAATATGTGGTTATAACAAATTTTCGAAAAGCGTTCAAAGTTCAAGAGACAAAAGTCAAAAATTGATATGCGAAATTGATATGCAATACCATAAGAGAAATATTGCTTAGTTTCAAAGGATGGCGGGTTAAATGCAGCATATGCTTAGTTATTTAAAAAAAAAAATTTAAAGAGTCATCACCATTAAACTAACGTGGGGACGTGAAATACTAGTAGAGCTGCTTTTCTTTTAAAAATAAATAAATGTACTTGTATATACCTAAACTATACTATGTTTGTACATATTTGGGCGGGTTAAAAAATCGATAATTTTTTTTTTAATTTTAAACTCTGAAATTAGTTGGTAGACTCCTCACAAAAAATTCTCAAAGTATGAGTTCTTAATATTAGTAAGCAAATCCTCGGTTTTTCAGTTTCCGACCCTTGCCTTTTTATTGGAAAGAAAAATTCCTATCTCAGTATGTACTATTTTAAGAAAAAATCTCGTCTCTAATATCTGTGCGCAATTAAAAAAGTTAAATTTTAATTATTTTAATACATATTTCGGTTTTTCATAAATTTATAACACCTAAAATTATTACCTTTAATAACTTTTGATCGGTGAGGCGAGAAAAATTGTAAGATACCATTTTTGTTCAGAATTCCACCTTTCCACCAACTATGACAGACAATATCTTTTTAAAAAATAGTATATAATATATAAAAAATAGGAAACCGTAAACCGAAGAACCAGCCTATTTACCATATATTAAGAGCTTATACTTATAAGTGGAAATAATTGATTTTTTTAACGCACCCTAGTAGGTATTCATATATATATATATACATGTATATATATATGTATTCATATATACACAAGTATTTTTTGAGCGAGAGTAGTTTGAGAATAGCAGTTATAACTTAAATATAGAAACTCAGATAGTTTTTGAAATAAATATTGAACCAAAATGCTACTTGTTTGAGATATTATACCTACACACATCTAAACATATGGTAATCTAATCTGTCTAATATATATGTGTATATGTGTTCGAACATTTGCATTATTCGTAGCAAACTTGTCCAAACTACCAAACTTAACCAAGCATGAAATCAAACGTTAGTTGCTATCAGTTTAACAGATATCCCTAAATGATATATATAGGTACGGCACTCCACACATTATATATATATATATATATATCATATTTATATACATATTTTAAGAAATTTTTTATTAATTTAATTAACAGTCACACACACAATTGTTTACCAAACTCTCAACTTAACGGAGGCATATGCTTATTAGCCATTTAACTTAAGAGCACATACAAATACCTACTAAATTAATACATATTTTCAATATATATATATAAACCTATGTATATACATTCCACATAAATAACCATTTACTATAAATATGTATGTGTATAGATTTTTGTTTATTTTCGTGTCTGTTGACGGTTTTTGAAACAAAACTAAAAATTATTATAAATTATAAACTGATACCATTTGCTTTCACGTTATTTAAATAAGCCGGTTCACTTATGTTTTATGACTACAGTGAGTACTTCTTATTTCCCTTATTTTCGATTTATGCATGTACAAATATTAATTAGTTAGTAATCTGTATATAAATTTGTTGCTGTTGCATTTCTAAATGTGCATTGCTTACTTGCGATTACGTTGGTGGCATTGGTCATGTTACGGCTGTCCTACTAGCGCTATGCCACACACCTCTCGCCAACAGCAACAGCAAAATATTGACGGTATCGCCCGCGAACGTTGTTGTAACGGTGTACAACAACAGTGTAAGTGGCAGGATGCATGCAGCGGGGCCACTGTGCAGTTGCGCGGCGGCTTGACTGCTTTCGGGCCAAACCACTTCGACTTCGGACATTTTGAAAATGCTTAACAGCCGGTGGGATTGCAATTCGTGGTGCTCGGTGTTGATGTGGTGGCTGATGGTCTTCAGTATCGAAGTGCATTCATCCTGAAAGAGAAAGTGATAAGTGAAGAGATGAGCGATTTGTTGCTCGGAAGTGTGAGTTATGTGTGCCTTAGTGTTGGTTTTATTTGATATGCTCGCCACGTCAGAGGGTTCAATGTGCATGAGAGCGTGCAATCAATAATGCTGGTATTTATATATTTATTGATTTGTTTGTACAGTATCTAGGAGTTGGTTGTGTGTATGCTAATTGTGTATTTGTAATGATTACCTTCTCTTTGCCCAGCAGTTCAATGGCTTTGAGTTTGGCGTCGTGTGGCAGGCGAGCGGCAATTATGATGTTCTCATCGGTCATATTAAAGAGCGTTAGTGTACACTGAGTCTGTGAGCGAAAAAAAAGAGAGAAATCATTAGGAAAAAGAAAGATGAATCGAGAGAAAATAAATAATAACTTTTATAAATATACTTCATGGAACGTATGTCCGAACAATGTAAACATCAAACACATAAAAAATTTATTCATAAATTTGACCAGGACCGGTCCATTGAAAATGTTGCAGAAATGCTTTGGTAAGTTTTCTTTATCACGACAATATTACAATATTTGAGTGGCATAAAGCATTAAGTGACGATCTAAAACTTGACTAATGCGAGTCGTCCATCAACTTCTGATTTAATGTGTAGACTATATTCCTCCAGAAATAATTGCCCAAAAAACTCCTCTTTTTAGCTAGATTTTCTTTAGCATTCGTCATAACTTCGACAATTTAGATGAACTTCTAATCGAAGGTCAAGAGAATTACGTTTAGAAAAATCTTTTTTTCCTCAAAAAGGTTGAAAACTGGGAAAAACCCAAGACCTCAGTGAGAATAAACGCTTTTAATTACTATAATTACTACTATCAATCCGAATACGAGCAAATTAATGATTGTATACATTACTAAAGCTAATTTTCCAATCACAATACTTAGAGAAAAGTAAACTCCTACCTGGTTGTCTATATGTGTCGTAACATATTGTTGTAAAGCTCTCACAGCATCTTGCACACCGAGATTTGTATGTGGTCGTAGAAGTGCCTCATCGGCTGAGCTGTACCCAAGCAATAGGAAGACACCACCTGAAATAATAAAATAAATAAACCAAATAAATAATAATATATAAATAAAGCAAATATTTTTTAAATAAATTACAAGAGTAATTAAAGGGAAAACATTATTTTTTATTTGTTCTAAAACAAATTTAGACCAATTTTATTTTTTATTATAAAACTAGAAAGATAGAAAACGCAGTTTGGATTTCTTATTGAGTAAAATCAAGGAAACATGAAAGTAATGCACTGGATATCAGAAAAATATGCAAGAATTTATTTTGGCAGAAATATAAAGCAGGAGTAGTCCTCCTCCTTTCTCTAAGTGCTCTAAGGACAGGCATCATTTTAAAATTATGCAGTAACTGACTGCAACAGAGGACAACTACTTAAAATAATAATAAAATAATGTTCTTGGTATTTCTGATGTTTGTTGAAAAAAGCAAAATATTTATAATTTCCATATTTGTTAGAAAACATATGTCTGTCAACATGAAAATCAATAGAATGTCCAAAAATGTACGACTAAATTTATGTAATTTCAATTTAGAAAATATTTTACATTCTTGTATAATATTTAAACATTATTTTCAAACTTTGAAGATAAATCAACACATTTCGGCCTTGATGAAATTTCCCCTCACTTCTACTCGCAATTCAGACAATTTGAAAAATGACTTACAGATTTGCCATTTCCATCGAATAGACAATACAATTTCTATAAATTTATTGGGTAATAAATTTACACAAGACCCCACACAGAGCGGCAGAGAGGCAGACAGACTAAAACTAAATTTTACAATTGTGCAAACTTAACATACCTGGCAGCGTGTATTCGCCCAGCGGTGGCTTCATGCAAATAAATCGGCCCGAATAACAAAGGCAACGACCGCGGAATGCCTGATATGCCGGCGATGCATGGCTGTAGAAGGCCAAGGCGGTGCGACAGGGCGCAAACGGTACGCAGAGAGCATGACAGGTGAGCGTTAGAGATTCGCCACAGCTGCACAATTCACTGCATTCGGCGTCGTCCAAGGAGTAGATCTGCGTTGTAAAAAATAGAGAATAGAAGAGAACATTTAAGTAAGGAGGTCTAAAGCAAAATACTCTAAGGATGAGTTAAAGTTTTTTAAAAACCAAAAAATATTTCTAAAATATTTACAAATTCGTATGAATGTACATATATATATGAATATTTATCAGTGCAAACTAAAAAATTTTAAATTTTCTTTTCTGTTGAAGTCAAAGTTATTTGAGGCCTTTGAGTGACGCTGAAAATTATTAACTGCAAATAACTCGCGTTCCATAACGAATTTTTTCACATACCCGCTTGCTAGACCCTTCGCGTATTAATTGATCTGACTGATGTGGACGTTGAACCACGCAATTTCCTGGAATTACAAGAACAAAAATATTTGTAAAAATATTTATTTATTAAATTTGTTTGAATAAAGGGGGGCTTACAAGGGCGCACACATTAATAATTTTATAGTTTACAAGCAAATTCCAGAAGGTTATTTTACATATTTTCGTACAAAAAATTACCAACAGCCCATCATACACTTCATACGGACAACGAGTAAAATCATGGTAAAAAAAATTATGGATTGCCATGGCGTTGGGTTATAGAAAAGTCCAAAATATAGACACAGACACAACAACAGGAAAGAATAGTTAACATTTTATATGAACAATAGAGTATGTTGAATGCACTCGAATTGAAGTTGGTGACAAATCAATGGAAAACAATGAAATTTATGAGGGGAAAAAATTTGCAATAAATCAGTTTAAAATAGTGTTAAAGCGGAGTTAAGAACTGTTTAGATTTATACAGTATATATTTGAATATGGCAGCAGATTTCATTGCTTAAATATGGGCTCTTGAACTTTGGGTTAAAATAATTTATGTTTTCAAGATAACATGCTCATTACAAAAGTTTATATTTTGTTCTATTATCTAGAATTAAAGTCTGAATTCTATAAACTTTATTTCGAGGTTTTCAAGTTGGTTCTTAGCAACTTTTGAAGGCCAGTTCTTAAAGTTAAGAAACAGGAAATGAAGGCTACTTTTGAGGAACTAGCTGTTTGCGAAAACGATTCGTTACCTATGAATGAACGTGAAAACTACCTCATAACTACGAATTCTTAGCCCCCATATACCTAACATAAAGATTGAACTACCGGATGACTTTATATCGCATATATCGGCTAATATGTGAGTTATCTCAAGTGAAAATAAGATAACGTTTAGTCATGACAGTGTATATCTTTGTGTCTAAAATGGAGAAAATTGAGCAAAAGCTTTACCTAGCCCCCAAATAACTAATAGCAGTATTTACGAAAATCCGGCTGACTTTACTCCATATGACTGGTAATGGTGTGTGAGGTACTTTAATGAAAACCTGGAAGCATTTTATTAGTCTGTGGCATGTTAGTAGTATGTGGTATTGGCTAAAATTGATAACATCGGGTCAATACTATCTCCAACCCCCATATACTACTTATAATGATTTTCGTTATTCTAACAAGTTACATGTCGAATATGTCGGCAGTGAATATTATATACAGTTATCATAAAAAATTGCTGCAAAATATGTTCTCGAGTATGTCTGAGCAATGTGAAAATTAATGCAATCAGCCCGTTTCTTTCTCTACCCCCCCCATATACCTTATAAAATTATTTCCGTCTTTTCACCTGTCTTTTAACGGTTTAGATTGGTCAAAATGAGTGATATTTCAGTGAAATTAAGTGGACACGATTTCTTAAAAATTATATGGTTTAGCGCTGAATTACAATGGCATTGGTCTATACATTGGTCTACACCTCATATTCCCAATATAATGAACTCCGAATCTTTGGTTGATGTTTCTCACATCAACTTATTAAATTAAATTATATTTAAATAAAATCTTCGATAGAATTGTTATCACTACATATTTATATATCATTTGAAGGTGTTTTTAATATAATTTTAGTTGACGTGAAGTAAAATATAGCAATTAAACTAAGTCTAAGTTTAGGGTCTTCAATATAAGTCAAGAAGATACCAAATTTGGTTATAATTTATACACGATTTCATCGAATAATGGATGTTTAATTATTTTGCAAAATTTTTTTAATATAAAGTTTTGCCAGCATCTGAAGGAATTTACACCCGAATTTAGTCCTTCTTAACTTGTTATAATTTAAATGGTAAAATATTCTATATGTATTATTCATGAAGTCTAATTTTGTTTTTATAAAACAAAAAGTTTTCGAAAGGTTATACAAGAACTGATTTGGATATCAGATAACCATCGATTGTTGGGAGAGAGCTGTTATGAGTGTGATTAGACTTCAAAAGGGAATATGTTTTATAAGTAACAAATAATACTTATGTGTAAGACTCAACAAAGGTCAGGTGTAGTACAAGAGAGCTTACGAGAGAAGCTCTGGTAAATACATATACAAGGAGCGTTCCAAATTAAACAGGACTTAAAAAAAAGACAGAACAGAAGATTTTATTGGCAAAATGAATTCATTTTATTCAAAATAGTCTCCTTCTGCTTTAATACAGCTTTTTGCACGGTCCAAAAGCATGTCGAACGAGTGTTTTAGCTCGTTGCCCGGTATGGCCGGCAGTATTGTCTTCACTTTGGACTTCTCCAGTCGCGATTTTTTGGGTTTCGGCTCATTTCTCATTTATGTCCTCACGACCACTTTGAAAACGTTGAAACCACTAGTGCACTCTGCTACGGGATAGGCAATCATCGCCATAAACTTGTTTCATCAATTGAAACGTTTCGGTAAAAGTTTTACCAATATTAAAACAAAATTTAATGTTGGCTCTTTGTTCGAAACTCATTTTCGCACCGATGACAAAAACATACTGACACTTAAAACGCAATAACTTCACTTCAAATAGATGAAATATCATGAAATTTTTAATGAAATTTGGATGGCGCCACTAGAGTTTACTTTGTTACTTTTTTACTGTTTACTTTGGAACTCACCTCGTGTGATGAAGACACAATCGACTAAAACATTCCTTAAGCTAAGCTAATCTTCATATTCTGCACGACTTTAAACAAGCAAATAATTCAGCATGGGCCTACGAAAGCAATCGTTTCTTTTGTCATCGCATCCCCACGGACAAATTTATCAAAATGTATATAATTTGATGCAAACTTTATTTTTCAATGCATACAAACCCCACTTTTATTTACTTTTTTTGTGTTTTTTGTTGTTTGCACTATCCATGTAAAACCGATGATTGTCGCTATGCGGACATCCGTCGCCAGCAAAGCTTTTTTGTTGTTGTTTTTGCTTACATTGCTTTTGTGACTGATGGCATCGCGTCATTTAACACAATGCTTGACAATTTGTTCACATCACTCATTGGAAATGTGCATATAAGTTGGGAATTATATACCCATATATATAAATATATATATTTGTATGTGCGCTTGCATTGGTTATTGTAGTGCTTGTAGTTCATCGCTTTGATCAGCTTTCTGTGTTTAGCTTTTACTCTATGTTCAACTGAGCTCGCTTATTTGTCTGCTTTTGTGTGATCATTCGCTGAAGTACGAGTTGGGCTGAGTATTTTCTCTATTGACTTATGTGAATGGACCCTTCTCTTGTATGAAGTGGGTTTAATGTACATACAAACATGTATGCATGTGTATGTGTGAATCGGAAATATGGTTGGCATTTATCATAGCGTCAATGACTTGTTTTTCCTCAAAGTTATTTTGAAATATAGAGTTAGTTGTCGTGTTAGCAGTTGTTGTGCACGTTTTTCCAAGAGAGTACTCAAATAACAAAGATGGCAAATATGATTGCCAAGTTGATAATTTTAAAACTAGGACTTCATCAGTTAGTGAAATGATAAAAAAAATTTTGCATTTTCACTTAGCATATATACTTGCTGTTGGAGCGAATCCGCAGCTATTTTGCATAGGACCACCAGAAATTATTTGGAAAACATTTTATTCTACTACAACAGTAACTAAAGACTTGATTTACAGTTTTTCAGTTTGCAGTTATTTAGCAATTTTTAAGATTGATAACCTAGCTACACAAAAGAAAAAATTAAAAATATCTTGAATGAAGTTTTCCGAAAAATTATTAATCCAACATGGCTTTAAATGTTTTACGGTCCATCATGTAATCTGTACCAGTCTTGCAGATAATAATTACTTCAAAATTCTTTTGTACCATATATCTTCAATTACAAACATGTTGAGATCCTTCTCTTATATGTGAGGTTCGTTTTTTGGAGAAATCGTTCTTTCAAATACTCAGTCACCTCGAAATTTCCAGTTGGGATTTTGCATTGTGAAAAACATTCAATTGCGTTGCCAGTCAATGTGCGTTGAAGGTCGATTAATATTAAAACTTTGCTTCGGCAAAAATTCAAACATTCCCCAAATGACTGGTTGTCGTTAAGGGTGTATTCTAGTTTAAAAATTTGAAAAAAAATGGATTTTGTTATACTTTTGATAGTATTATTTAGTAATTATATAATATTTTCGATAGTTTTATTATTTAGATGACCACAAGGTCATGTACTTCAAGGACGCATAATTTTATGGAAACTATTGTTTTCCTCTTTTTTTAAAGGAATTTGTTGAAATATGAAAAAGCACAATGGTTGGTATAAATATACATTGATTTTTTTTCATTAATTTTCTTAAAACGCTCGAAGTTCGGATCTCTAGGCTAGAATACTTCCTCAAACACAGTATCCACTCCCATATATGAATTGATTGCTCTTTTGAGATTTACATCGCCATTATCGCGCCAATTTATTTGATTTCAGTGAAAGCATTTCGACTACTCGCAACAAACCGCAACAGAGCAAATGAAAAGCTTTTATAAATATTAACTAAAATCATTCGGGCTTACAGGGGTTCCGTTTTCGTGGAAGTTACATATGCAGTATATGCAGTTATGTAATATATGTTAGTACATAACACATAATCTTACTGAAACAGTGCGTTCAAGAAATATCAATTTGATTTTGCGCGAAAAATTTATTTTTTGTTTTTTTGCAAATTAACACATGTTTGCTTGCGATCAATGATGCATACAATTCGGTCAAGTTAGTAGATGACAAGCAAGGGGAGGAATCATGTGCCATCTAAAAGTGAGGACGAAGCTATTGTTATTATGTTTGAAAAGAAACCATCGACATCTAATTATAAAACAAATATTTTCAAGTTTAAAATGCCTATTATTCTTATATAATATTTGCTACACCAGCCTTAACTGTAACAAATGTACTATGAGCAACACAGAATTTATAATGCACTTGTTTTAAGTTTTACGAAAATTTATTACATAAGCATAAGTTAAAATTGCGAACTTTGAGATCCCGATATTAGTACCGAAATTTCGGGATTTTGATATTGTTCCACAAGGACACCTTGTGCGTAAAATAATATATATTATATAATAATATTGCATTGCATTTACAATAATTGAAATTATTTTCAGAATATACAAATTATGAATGCACATAAATATGTTTCTGACACTATCCATTAACTTAGCAAACACATAAAGGAAAACACACATATTCACACACGCATAAGTATATTGCTACTTGTTACTTACTTGGCGCTTGCGTTGTTGTTGTGGTTGCCAGTGTTGTGGTCGTTGTGGCTGGCGGTTCTGTTGCACCGTTACCCGCATACTCTGTTGTTTGAATTTGCTCCACAGAAATCACTTGATCATCGAAATCGCCAAAATCATGTCCATTACCCGGTGCAGCGTCCGCGTCAGTTGCTTCCGCAGTTGCAGCATGACCGCTGCTATCGTGGCCGTTGATGTACACGACACCAGCACCAGCGCCAGCCACATTGTTGGCATTACGATTTCCATTGCCGTTGCCATTGTTGCCGTTATTGTTGTGTTTTGAGTTTTTACCATTTTTATTTTTGCCGTTTTTACCGTGACGTGGCGCATTGACGGCCGCACTAGTGGCGCTGCCATTGCCACCATTACCATTACCGTTGCCTCGGCCACTGCCATTGCCATTTCCAGCATTACTGGCGGCGCCGTGGCCGTTGCCGTTGCCGTTGCCATTGCTTTTGCCCTTCCCGCTGTGATAATCGCCATTTCCGGTGTTTCCGTTTTTATCATTTCCGCTGTGCAACGGTATCGAATCGGGCTGTTCGATATAATTGTCCTCCATGGATGTGGGTGCCGATTTTTCCTTTGGCTGCATTACGATGTTTTGTTATACCAATTGCATTCACCATATTTTTCATGGTTTTTGTAGAGTTGCCCATTGTTTGTGGTTATTGGAGTTGGTTATGTCAATTTGTTATTTTGAAAGTGGTGTAATTTTTGTTGTATTTTGTTGCAAGTGGAAAGAATAAAATAGTATGTTTTTAATTTTTCACCACAAAGTAAATAAGATATATTCAGAATTACATATTTTTTAATATTTATGCATGTATTTATATTTATATGTATGTATATACCTATAACCATACAAAATTTCGCACATCTGCTGTATTTATGTATGAATGATTTTATAATGTTAAGGGGTTCAGAAGTCGGGCGAACTCCAATCTTTAAGCTTTTTAGGATGTAAAAGTGTTTGGTAACCTTAAAATGAGTGTTTTGCAATTTTTTTGCTAATATATAGACGATTTTAAAAATGGAATATTACTAATACTTATTTCATTTGCAGTGGGTTCGAGGACCAAAATTTTAGAACCTTTAGATTCCGTAAGATTTTCAGACTACTTGGACGTTTTTGCTTTCCATAGATATGAATACAATAGTTTTTTTTGTTTCAGAAGACAAGCAATTTTCGAAAGCACTCTACTCGAAGATCGGGTTAAAGTATTCAATCAAACCCGGTTTAGCATTTCGCCAACTAAGAGAAGGTCCTGTTACTACTAGAATTCGAGTGCCACTTAACACGTTGTTGTTGTAGCAAGGAAATTGAGCTGCTTCTCTGTGGCTTTAAAGATCCTTGTCTTACGATCTCATCGGCAAGTACGGCAGTTTTCAATTACCGAACCAGCCGATGTCACTGTTACCTATAAGATCATCAAAATCCTGCCCATGATAATCGGGATTCAGCATTAACCTTAAAAACGGGTTGCGGAATATTTTGTTCAATAACAATAATAATAAATTTATAGAGCAAATTAATTTGTGTCCTAGATTGCTAGGAAAACGATCACTTGTTATACACTCTAGCACTCGTGGATTTTGATTATTTTAATCTAATGCAAGAACTGAATAAATACGTATGGCAACAATAAAGCAAAAACATACGCTGGACTACCATTAGCTAATCCATGTATAATCTCAGAAGAATACTAGTTATTATATGTAGATTACTTGTATTTTCTCGTCACTTGCCGTCCTTTAGCAGCCGTCTTTACTTCTTAATATAAAGTTAAGATACGAGTATTGTTGAAATTTTATATACGGAGTTGGCGTATGCAATGCTGAAGGCAAATTTATATACACTTATAGCTAATCGATTGAATCGTTAACATCACCACTATATTGCTTATATATTATATAAGTACTCCTATCAAACGCTGCACTTACCGGATATCCACGAAATATTTGCGTTGTCTGCTTGCGTGACGTTTGACGCGGCGAAGTGGGCGGTTGGCGATGTGTTGTTGTTGTGGTAACCGTAGTCAACACCGGAGGCGGTGGTGGCGGCGGTGGCGCACGTGTTGTTGTTGTCGTGGTTGTTGTAGTCGTAGTAGTTGTAGTCGTTAGATAACCCAACTCGGCGAGACGCTTCATGTGAAAATCCTTCTGAGCTTCAACTGCATTTAGAGAATGAAGGATGAAAAAATAACGATAAAAAAGAACGAAGATAGCAGAAAATAAGGTTTTTATAAAAGCAAACACTATTTATTTCAAGTAACTTTGAGGATAATAACATATTTTTGAATAACATCTCCGGTAATATCAGCAAGCTGTACTCACCCACACACGGATTTAGCCAGAGCAGACGCCGCCAGCCGACACATTGGTAGAGATACTGCGGGTCTGCGCCTTGGCAAGCGCAGGTGGTGCGCAGCATAGTGCCGAGTATGCCAATCATTGCAGTGCGACAGCCGCTTGGTCGCCCCGCGCACTTCTTCGTAACACTGTCCACGGCACAGGCCTGTTCGTAGTATTCCAATTTGAGCCTAAATTATGAAGAAAGTTAACGTTACAACGACAGCCCATTTATTAGTCTATTAACCATAGAATCAACAGAGACGCGCTTTAACCTTTGTAGGTATAGTTACAAGTGTGGCATACGCCAAGTGGCAACTCCAATTAGCTTGAAAACTACTCATCGTTGTGTGAAATATTTAGTTTGTCAGCTCTCTATTCTTCCGCCCAACAAGCTGATACACATAAGTGAGAAATTGCTTAAATAAGCACTTGCGAACAGTAATTCTTCGCTCACACACACACACATTTTCAACCTACACGTTTCAAAGAAAAGCTGGCGCAGCATCCTTACGCTTAGCACGCGCCGACATCCCGACAACTCGGCAACATGCAGACGCTGACGCAACATCTTGGCAACACGTTCCAGCTTTAATTGCCATGTCGTCGTTGTCTTAAGAGCACTGCAATTAAAACATAATTGAAGTTTTCAACGCTTCATCGTCTGAGCTTCCCTCGTTGTCGGGGGTTTCGCAAGGGACCGTACGGCTTGCCACAATTTAGACCCGCCTTACGTCAACCAATTGCGAATTGGGGTAAAATAAGGGAGCGCAGCGCTGCGGGCATGGCGGCAGTAGTTTGTGTTCTGTGCAATTTTCGTTGACACAAAATGAACTCCTCAACACCTGTGCTTCTATGCGTTGCTAGTGGCAGTTTTCTTATAAATCTGATGTTCTAGGTGCTATGATCTTTGTTGTGAGCTCTAAGGGTACTATATATGTACGATATTTGCTTTTCATGTCTTCACAAAAGATTTGCTTAGCAACATACAATCTTGACTTTCTGCTACTTCAGAAAGATTTGTCGTCGGGTGGGGTCAGGTAATGCGGAGACATGTGGAAAATTCCCGAAGGGTCGCCTCGTAGTATAGCCAAATTGTTAAGTTACGTATGTTGAGGTCACCAGTATGGTACGGTAAGTTGTGAAGTGGAGTCGTAGTAAATAGTGTTTAGTGAAAAGTATACTCTGCTTACAATTATAATGGATCGACAAACGAAGTCGAGTTTAAGGCTTTTTTGTAGGGAGAAATGTCGACGAATTTTTTTGGAATGTTTAACATTCAGTTAAATTTGAGTAATGAAAGCAATTAACTGTTAAAAATTTTACCAATTAGGAGGATATTTCAGAACTGTGGTTAGATTTTGCTCCCAAAGTTGTTACAAAGAAAAATAAAGGTGCAACCGCAAGTTGAAGATGAGAATATTGTTTATGCATGCAAAAAGAAGCTCGATAAGACTCTTTACTCGGACATGTACTGTCAAGAATGGAACCGTCTGAAGGAAGAAACCGTAAAGAAGTGGCCAGGTTTGAGCAATAGGAGTGGAGAAGGTCACGCCATACCATCGAGAGTCACTCGATGAAAGCTCCGTGAGCTTGATTGAGAGGTTCTTATGCATCCACCATATAGTTCGGTACCAAATGATTATTACCTGTTTCTGTCTATGTCAAAAGATTTTGCTGGTGAAAATTCGACTCAAGAGAAGCTTCTGAATATCGCCTGTTTCAGTTTTTTGCCAAAAAAGACGTGGATTTTTATGAGCATTTCTATTAAAGTAGCTTCAAAGTGTTCTCTTCGGTTGCAGCGAAACTATAGTACTTTTCAAAAATACAAAGATTCCACTGTGGTCGTTCAGTTTGTATGCCAGCTATATGATATAGCGACTCAATCTGAACAATGTCTTCAGAGATAACACCATTGCCTCAGGCAATAACTCATGTCAAATTTCGTGAAGATATCTCGTCAAGTGTAAAATTTTTCCATACAAGCATTTGATTCCGATCGTTCAGTTTATATTGCAGCTATATGCTATAGTTTTCCGATATCGGTCGTTCCGAAAAATTAGCAGCTAGTTTGCACTTTTATATACATAGACAGACGAACATGGCTAAATCGACTCAGCTCAAAGCAATGATAATTTATATACATACTTTATAGGGTCTCTAGGGTTTACGTGTGGATGTTTCAAACACCGTTGCAAACTTTATATATCCTGTTCAGGGTATAATAACAGACTTCTTTTTTTCTAGACCTATGCACATATCAAGTATTTGATGGTGATTTCATAATGTTGAAAATATTTATACTCCATGAACATATCTTACTGTAAATATGTTCTAGCTCTTCTTCCAACTTGTATTCCTATGTTCAAATTTTGTTTTTGTTAATTCGTTCGAGACTTGTTAGTATAAGGCGTACAATAAGATGAGAATGGATTGCTAGTTGAAGCTGACTGATTGGCAAGTTATCAGCAATTGCATAAGTTTTCTATGCAAAAAGTTCTAGATCCCAGTCTTTATACTTAATAAAAACAAAGAAAGATGAACAAATTTTGTCATTTTGATTTCAATATGCCATCAAAGAGCGAAAAGTGACAATCGTTAAAGCTATGCAAGTTAAACAGTTGTCACCACATCACGATGGCTTTTCTAGTTATTCGCTTACCTGAGATAGTAGGGAGAAGAATCTTATTACAGGCAAAATTCTTTGATTACTGAGTGTAACGTAAGGACAACAATTTTTAGTTCATTTTCTATCGATTTCATTTCAATGGATGGAAATCCCGTACAATTGAATATGGAACCTCTGTGTTTAACATCATTTTAGAACAATATATACAATAGTTTTTCTTCGCTTTTGCCTTTTCTCGTTTGCAACTTTTTCAAGTTCAAGAAATCCAAGTGCAAGTGTTTAATAAATATAATTAATTGACGTTCGAGCTTAATGAGTAGGAAACTCACACATTGTTATTGCATACTTCCTATACTCAAGTGTTTATGATAATTGAGGATTGCGTTCATATGTACATACTATAATAACGAAATGCATTAACTTTGTATGAGGTCACAACCTTTCATATTTGCATTCATACAATGAGCCTACATATATAATATTTTCAGGAATCACAAAAATTCAATCATTTGTTATGTCAACCATTTTCACATTAATGAGGCTTAATGACGGCAGCTTAATAAAGTTCCGTTGTCATGTTGCCGTCATAAATTGGGAGACTTAAATATGTCATAGTATGGATGATATAATATGCCATTGAAGGAATAATGCCTGCGAACAAAGAGTATCCATATGTACATATGTATCGTATTATTTATTTATATGTGAGTTCTCATGACATTTGTGAGTTTGATTGATATCACAGGCATTCACCGGATAATTGAATGCGTAAAATGTGTGAAATGCATACAAGTCGAGCAAATTGAATTAAATGACATTGAGTACTATAAAATGTATTGAATGTTAAGATTTATGTGTAAATGATGCTCGTGTTGTAATTAATTGCCATTATCAGTGCATTTCGCAGTCCTACAGAAGTGCTGATGGCATTTGTTGGTAAATTAATTCGCATACACGCAATCGAACATTAATAATTGAGTATAAATTTGTAGAAATGCGTATGTGTATATATTTATGTATATGTACTTATTTATGAGCAAAAAAAATGCGTGTATTGTGGCTTTGCATGAAAAATCAATTGTGGCACGCACCACACCACAGCAATGATAACGATACGGCCGCGTAAAAGATGCCCATTAAGAAGTTTACTTCCTTTTCATCTAAACAAAAGCAAATTTGCTTAGTAATATGTGATTTATACGATAAAGTTAATGCTTTTCAAGGAACAATATCAAAACTAATAAATATATCTGACTTGTGGCATCAAAAAATATGCATGAATTAGTATATTAAATGATAATATCGCAACAAATCTCTTGCAAAATCTTCATCGCTGCCATTAACAACAAATTTAGTGTATGGAAAAAACAAATTTAATTTCCGATGGAATGCAAATGATTGCGATTAAATTAGGGTAGTTCCAAAAAAACGAATGTTTTCTTTTCGCTTGGTTGCTAAGAAAGTCTCTCAAAGTATGAGCGAGCTCTTAATTGTAACGGTAAGATCTTACGCCTTGGAGTTTTCTATTTTTTTCTTATTATCGCATAGAAAAATTCATATCTCGCTTCCAACTACTTGAAAAAATATTTAGTTTTTGGATTTTGGGGTTAATTTTTTATAGCATAAAACTATATTTATTTCGATTTTTATGGATCAGTTTGTATGGCAGCTATATGTTACAATGGTCCGATCTGAACAACTTCTGCGGAAATTATAGCCATGTTTTATCATGAATATATGTATCTTTTCAAATAAAAAAGTTTTCCCCACAAGAACTTGATATCAATATGTTCGGAGATTGTACTTTGTCTAATAATCTGTGTGGCATATCGTTAAAGAGATCTTGATGTTTTCTATACAACGATTTGATATTGATCAGTCAGTTGTATGTCATCCATATGTTATAGTGATCTGATCCAAACAGTTTCTTTGGATATTGTGGTGGAACTTTGAACAATAATGCTTGCCAAAGCTCATGAAAAGAAGTTGTCAAATAAAAATGTGTTCCATACATGGACTTGAGGTTAATCGTTCAGTTTGTATGGCATGTATATGCTATAGTGGTCCGATATCGTTGGTTCCATTTAAAACGCTGAGTTTTATTTTTCATCGCAAAAATTTACTCGACCATCTTCCAGATCAGCTCCACCAACACTATAAATTTTCCACTAATCCAGCTAACCAAACGCCTGGCTGCTTTATTACATATACCACTATATTTGCCGCATATGAAGTAAGTGTCGCTATTAGCACAATTTAGTTGCTTGCACTGGAGCAAAAGAGCGATTCACTTAAAAGGCAATTAAATTCGCAGCCACGTACTTTGTGGTCGCTTAGCCGTGCAGCCAGTAATGACGATGTGCCAGGCGACCAATGAGACAATCAAGCTCATATACGGTAGCATATTAGTCGCTTAAGGCTAGGTGCATAGTGTGGCAAATAGCGATGTCATGATGAGGAGAAAAACTGTATGTATTAAAGCAGTAACGGTTGTGTGAGAGACGCGCTAGTACACATGTAAAGAATGCGTGGTTCCATTATGTCGTACTCTGCGTTCGTCGGTGGTTTGCCCGCAATGCCACCATGCGTTTGGCCTTAGTCTATGCATATGTGCAGTATGTATATGTATTTACTGTTATGATTATATTAGAGGTCGTCACTCTTTGAGTGTGCTTTCGTCTGCAGATTAAGTTGAAGAAAGTCTGTAGAATATGCCGTAACATATTCACTTCGACAGTAGAGTTTCTTCTGAAAATAGCGACCATCGCACACACACACGAGCGCACAGTGTCACAGCTAGTTTATTTCGGTTGTCTGCTGTAGTAAACCAGATTATTGACGAGTTTCCTGCATTTGCTACGATGCCACTATAAAATGAATTTATATGCATGTAAGAGTTTAAGAATATGTCTGCGTGCGCGCGTGTGCATTAAATTATTTTGAAAAACGTGTCTCTTTTAATGGCAACGTAACTCATTCTACAGCAAGTCGTGCAACTCATTCTAGCTACTATATAAAGTGTATGTTAGGTTGTGTGTGCCTTAGTGCAGTTAATGGCAGCCACCTTGCATATTCCAGCAAAGTGTCAATTTCATGACGCATTGATGCAAAATCTCAGGCAGGTGCCAAACACAGACTTTACTCTTCGACCTTATCCTCCTAGTTTTCCTATAGTATACTCTTATATAGCGTAGCTTTCTTCTGAGAAAATCATCTCTACACATATTTATGGTATTAGACATTCTGGCAACTTGCCTGCAGCCACATCTGGCTTCATCAATCTGTGTTGTTGATGATTTTAATTACATCGTTAATTTTGTACAGATTTTATAGCTTCCAGTTAAGTATTTTTAGAAGGTAACATATTGCAATATTTCGTGATTTTGACTTTAACTATGCTCCTAGTTATCTAGCAGCAGTTTGTTATTTAACGTACTCATTTATTAATTAAATGGGTAAAGCGTATATAAAGCGATTAATTAAGCCTTGTCAATGCTTTATTTATATCAACTAAAGTTATCCAAATTAACTGAATAATATCTACGTAAGCTTTTTCAAACATTATACCACAATTGCAAAAGTAGTGCTAGTGATTATTGAAAATATTAACAAAATCTGAAGGGATGGTAAAAAAATTTAGAATTTTAAAGATATTCAAAGTCAAAGTCTGTCATATCAACATTAAACATACGTTAAGAATAATGATATCTGATGATCTTATATAATATTATAATATCGATTGAAGTACGTTAAGTAAATTTACAACAAGGCACCACCTTTGAACTTAAAAAAAATGTTTGTTTTTGTTTTTGAATATTTCAAATGTAAATACATTAGAAAATATTCTCCGAAAATTTAAAGTTGTTCGCCCAATAATTTTGGAGATATGAGCATATTTTTAAGAATTTAGCTAGAGTCTAATCGGCTTCCAAAACACGTATTTCTCGATACGTCGATCTTTGTCAGAGTCGATGAGAAAAATTTTTCCGAAATGGTTAGAGCGGTCGATTTGAAACTACTACACGAATTTCATAAATATATGCGATTTTTTTTAGATGTTAATTTCGATTTTAAAGCCACCCTGAAGTGTAACTTTTCCGCAAAAAACTACACTTTTCGGGAATCCGCCATTTTGTAAAAAATCTAAATATGACTGCCCCTTCAAACATTATTGTAATCATACTTTTTTTGATTTTAAGATTTCACATATTGTAGTTTAAGCAGAAAAATCTTGCTCAACACTAGACATCTTTTTTCAGAGGTCTTCCAGGAGATCGTCTAAAAAGTTGAGGGAATACAAAATTTTCAAAATTTATCGCCGATTATTAAAGGACATGTAATTATGCAAATTAACATTTTTTTATTTATTTGTTAAATAAAATGTTTCGTCAATTGAAACTCCGAAGTTCATTCTATTTTCAGCGATGTGTGGCTTTAATTATAATTATAGTGTGCGCCTGTTTGTAGGCAATATATATGAAGTGCATTATGGGCAGTCAGAATTTTCGTTAAGTGTGATATCTTGAAAATATTCTCTGAAAATTTCAAGTTGATCCGATAATTACTTTTTGAGTTATTCGACAAATAACAAAGAGCGCTCTGGCACTTCAAAGCGCTCGGGAGTAGGTAGCTAGTATTTCTGTACGTAGTCTAGTGCGAAACTTTAAATGCGTTTTTGTCAAAACTATGTTCTTTGAACTGTAACTCGAAAACCGCTCAGTAGATTTTAATGAAATTTATACAGTTTTTAGAACACATCATAAACTCGGGTCTGATCGAACAATTTTTTTTTTCAAAAACTTCGACTTTTTCTCAAAAATCTAGAAAAAAATTTCCTAAGGCCGCCCTTTTCTTAATTTTGAAAATTTTTGCTAGATTCAGGCCACGGATTATCTATTTATAAAACTATTTTTTTCTATCCGATTGATTTTAGATAAATCTCCAAGTTCTTATGATTGTCACCGTAACGACCTTTTTTTGGAACTGGGTCAACACTGACAGCTACAAGTATAACTTTGAAAATTAATAATGTTTTTTTTTTAACTTTTCGTGACTTCAAGTCAAATCATTGTATAATAATGCCATATTACTATTTTTGTAAAATAACATGATTTAATAGCAAAAAAAAAAAAAAATACTGAAAATTCTCATTTTTTCGTGGCTCATCAGAAATCAGAAACCAAAGGGTTTTCAATAAAAAAAAATTTATTCAGGAATTTGCTTTTATTGCTCAAAAAAAATCCGGAAAATGTGTGTAATAGTTCAAACTAGTATTTATATTAAAAATCTACAATAATCAGCGGATTTTTACAATTTTAAAAAGTTTAATTCAGCAAACACAGGCAAGACTATTATATTATATCGTAGAGACTATGTTACTGTAGTCATTTTTCCGCAGCTATTTAAGCTTTTAAAATCAATTTTGGAAACGACAAATTGTTTTGGATCGCAACAGAGGAACATTATAGTTTATTGCTTATTGATATCAAGTAATTCTCATGTACAACTATCCGAGCTTTCTGTGTCTAAATCTGCGGATAATGGTAGCTTGATTTATTAATTTTTTCGTGAGCTAATATCATATCGAAAATTTTCGAAAACATATCAAAACGCACATACATATTTTCTTATGCTTACAAAGTAGTTGTTTAACACAAAGCATATATATATCATCATCTTCCGATTAGAAACCCTTAAATGCTTTCGCCATGATGAAGCGAAATCTGCCACTTAACGCATGGTTACTTGCACTAAACTTTGCAAAGCGCACTATCTGTCGAGCAAACAGCAAAGAGCTGCTCGATTCCACTTACCTGCACTCACGATCCTCTTTACAATTTTCCGCTACAGAGTGGCAGGACGGCGGCGGATGGTAGTATATGCCATTTGAACCCTGCTGATTACTGTTATCGGCCGGCCTTTGTGCGCACGTTGGATGGAGCTTTTCCTGTGCAATCATGCACATGTCGTGACGATTCGTTGTTTTTCTGTGAAGAGAGAAATCAAGAGAAAACGTAAAACACAAGTGCTTACGTGTATGTATGTATGTGCTCGAAAACGAAGACTCACAAAGTGAGTGGCGGCACTGAAATGCACTGAAAAAATGTGAAAAATTTCTGAAACACAAACGATGCTACACACATACCCAGAGCGAGTAATGCGAAACCACGAAGCGTGCACGAGCAGATAGCAGCCATGCTGGACCGTGCATGCAACACGCACACACAGTTATTTAAGTAGTCGAGCACGACAGCGTGCAGGCTGCACGGCTCTTTAGTGCACGCAGTGGATTAGACAAAGGCACACAGTTGCAAGTAGTTAAGTAGATTTTGCCAACATGCACACACATACACAAATGTAGCTGATGTATAAGCCTTGAGGGGGTACTTACTTGCAGAGGCAGAAGGCAATGTCCAAATTCAAATCCTCGTGCGGACCTTTGTAGAAGGCTTGCAGTGATGTCATGCATGCATTGCGATTGCAACGGTGCATTTCACAATGCATCAACATTGGCTGCAGGGACGACGAGCATGACGCATCCTCCCGGCAAGTGTCCAATGCTGTGTGGCAGGTACTCTACACAACCGTTCGTTGGAATGTTAACCGGTCGCCGCAAGCCGATGGCCGTCAGCCAGCAGGTAACGGTATTCAAAATCGTCAAATCGGTTGATGCGTCCAAAGTCACGAATGCAACGAGTCAAGCGCAATGCGTGCATTGCATGGTGTTGTTATTGTAGTTACGATGATAGTTGTTGTCGTGATAGTTGGTTGCATGCGTCATTGATTGCGAAGCGACAGCGATGATGTTGACAGCAGCAATAGCGTTGCATATTCGTGTGTGGCGCGTTGTTGTCGTTGCATGTTGTCAGTTGCACGCATGACAAGGCCAGCAATTGCACGTGAAAATCATAAAATGACGTCCAATGGCATACAGTAATAAAGTTGTAGTGCCACAGTGGCCATTAAGAAGAAATGCCAGAAATGTAGAAAAGGGTTAAAAAGAATGGAAGAAATGTTAAATGTTAAGTACTGAGGAACTGCAGGCAATGGCAACACTTAAACAAATTGATTGCACGCATCTTCTACGCAGCAGCAACCGTTGGCAGCAGCAATGAATAATTTAAAGTTGAGTGAATAAATGTGTGTGTGTGTGTGGCTGTGTGTAGTATAGCTGCTGCCAACCTGCTGCATTTAAAGTACTTGCAACATTGCATTGCACTCACCTGAAAGTGTTGCTTGATTATTTCCGTTGAGAGGTCCACTTCGACATCCTGACCACCTGCGTTGGCGGATGCAGCACACGGCAGGAAGGAGTGTGGTAAAGAGAAAAAGGTGGAGGAAAAGTGTGGTTCCACAAGCGAGCGAAACGTGTCCAAGTGTACAAAATGTGTTTTTGTTTTTGTATTTGTTTTTTGGTTTTTTTTGTTTTTTTGGTTTAATCAGCAAGCGCAGTTGATGTTTGTAAGCCAAATTTTTGTTGTTTTTTTGTTGGTATTTGTAATGCATGACGTTTGAACGTCAATAGCGAATGCGTTCATTTAGCATAATTGTTTTTATTGTTGTTGTTGTTGTGTATTATTCAAGTTGTTTTTGTTCGGTGGAAATTTTTTTTCGCCAAACAGCCATTGGTTGTTGTTCACATATGCATGTATATGTAAGTATATATTTATTTTTGATTTTATTGCGCATTGTTATTTGTAGAATTTGTCAGCCAAATATTTTTGTTGTTGTTGTTGTATTAATAATTGTTTTTCATTCAATATACGCAGTGCAGTTGATGAAGTGATTTATTGTGTTGTCGTTTGGAGAAAAAAGGTAACGAGAACAAAAAAATTTAATAAATGAGCACTTTTTCCAGATGCTATAGCAATATATGCTTATAATGCTAAAAAATATGTATGCCTGTCGTTTTTAAGTGTTGTTATTTTTATTAAAATCATAAGTCTAGAAATATGCATGAAAAGTAATTTTTACACGCGCGATATATGCAAAAATCAGATAATGACCTGACCTAATTTAAAGATACGATATTTTTATGCTGCAGATATAAGCAGTATATATGTATATGAACAGTTTGATGTACGCTTTACCAATACACGGAAAAGTAAATTCTTTGCAAATCGCGCTTAAAGAGATGAACATTAAAAACATAAATCAAAATTATACAATAAAATACGTTTGAAAATATTTATGGCACAATATTTACTGATCACACATAACAATCAATTTAATTTTTTTTTGCACATTTTAATAGTCCATTTCTTCGAAAATAACATACCAAAATTTTAAATAAATATTTCAAATACATTTTAAGTTACAGCCTGCTAAATCACCTTCTTGGTTTTTCCTTAAACGCGTTTTTTTCCAAGCTATATTTTTCAAATTAGCTGTAGTTATAACTCCAATTTTTTTCCATAGCTTGAAAAATATTATTTTTGCGCTCAAGAGATAATCTTATTTTTAAGGAAAATGCCAAATTTTTTTCCAAAGTCTGCCATTCTGTTAAATTGAAAATTTTTAAACAATCGTGGGTCAATGTATAGGCAATACCTTACAGTTTTAGTAACATGAAGAAGTAGTAAATGACTCGCTAAAAATTAAATATAAATATGTCTTCAAAACATAATACATTTCTTGCAGTAGTTTTCTTAAAAAAAAAAAAACACTTCGTTTAGGTGGTCACAATAGATGTGCTCATTAATATGGAGCCGCCATGTCGTATACGTAACTTTTTAGTTGATTTAGCTCAAAAACAAGAAAAACAAAAACGAAAAAAAAGTTTTCCATACAGAAACAAAATTTTGATAGGTCAGTTTGTACGGCGGCTATATGACATTGTGGTTCGATCTAAACTATTTCTTTGGAGATTGTTGTTGTCAAATAAAAATATTTTCTATGCAAAGATCGTTCAGTTTGTATGCTAGCTATATCCTAAAGTGTTCCAATATTGGCGATTCCGACAAATGAGCAGTTCCTTGAAGAGAAAAAAACGTGTGTAAAATTTCAGATCGATATCTCAAATACTGAGGGACTATTTCGCGTATATACAGACGAACAGACAGACGGACATGTCTAAATCGACTTAGCTCGTCACGCTTATCATTTCTATATATACTTTAATGGTTTTCCAAGGTTTCCTTTTACGTGTAACAAATTTCGTGGCAAATTTAATTAGCCTTATTAAGTGTAGAAAATTACTGATACTTCTAGTTAGGAAATTATTTATTTACGTAAAAAATCTGAAAGCTAATTTAATGTTGCCACGCGTTTGCATTAATCACAATAGCATGCGTACTGGTTTGAAACTTTCGTTCTACTCACAGTTATTCATAATATATTTATGAGCAATTGAACACAAATCATAAGTATTTTTAAATGTACAATACATATTTATACTTGTATGTAGCTCCACACCGTTACAGCTAATTATTGCATTTATCGGATTTTGCGGTGTAACATATTTGTATTATTGAAATTTTAATGCCGCACTGCATATTTTAATATCGCGGCAATTGGAAAATTATTTGCGGCTGTTGCCACAAAAAAAAAAATTGTAATAATAATAAAATAATGCATAAAAAGACACACGGCTATTTAAAATCGCTTATTAACCCTTGACGCGCAAGGCGTTAAGTGGCATTAAATGGCGAGGTAATCACCCAATTGGCCACGTCAAATAACGTAATAACTGTCATTTTTTTACATATGTGCAAAATAAATAAAATCGTGCGATTATTTGTAATGGTATTAAGTAGCTGAAAAACGAGTGCAGTATATTTTACCGTTATTGGTTTGAAAATGATGAATTATGACATTTATATTGGCGATAAATATCATTTATTTTTAAATTCACTATTATTTGTGATATAGAATATAATAATAGTAATATAACTAAATTAAATACTTTTGAAATAAATCGAATAAAGTGTTTTGTTAACTTGATTTGTTGTGAAATACTAATATTGGGTTCGACAACAATCTAATTTTGCTTTCCTCATTGATTGTATGTAATAAGCTGTAAATTGTATGAAGAATATTATAATTGTTGTATTATTGTATCTGATAAAGTTAACATTTATTTTTTCAATAAAAATTAAATGAAAATTCATTAACTATTTGGCTCTATGAAATGATAGTTCTCTCAACTGTCCAGCTTTTGTCAGCATGAGGTTGAAACATTTTGGTAGCCAGCTAAGATTGATAAGAAAATTTTGGTAGGCTCAAAGCTCTTCATCGACCTATAAGAGTTTGGTGATGCATATCTAGAAATTTTGAGATATACAAAGAATCAACGTTCACAGTTGTCTAAGTAGAATATTGCATTATCTTTGTAGCTAGGCTCAGCCCTAGGACCAAACCTAACCCATTTTTGGTAGAATTGGAAAGTTAACTCTGATAAAATTTGCCGAGGACTGGCCCACAAAACGAATAGATATATTTTTTTCCTAGATTGGTATAATATTTTTTATGTTCGTGTGAAGTTTGATATTTATATGTGAAATAGTGTGAGTTTGTCTGGTTTTACCATGGAAAAAAGCAAACTGACAACAACGACTTTGCTTGAAATTTTTTGTTTCCAATGGAATCACGGCTACAGAATGTTGCCTATATTTTATAATGAACACAAGTATTTGCGAGGCACAAGGCATTCCGTGAAGGTATTGACCTCTGTTAGTGATGATAATAAGAAAAAAGTTAAAGAAGCGGAGCTTGAAAATCGTCGTGTTGGCATCAGAGAGACTCGAGAGAATCTCAACATCTTTTATGAATCAACTCAACACACCTTGGTTAATGTTGCAGATATGAAGCTTGTTAATGCCAGACTCACACCAAAAGACACGAATCTTTAACAAAAAAGACGTCGAGTAGAGGTCGTAAAAGAGATACTTAACAACGTGACTGAGGACCCTGCAAACGCATTGTTACTGCTGACGAGGCGAGAGTTTGTGAATATTACGTCCAGATTGAATAAAAATCTGGAGAATAGAATAAAAATAAGTACTAAAATACATGATTTTTTTATCAATCGGAGACAAATTTGATCAAATGGTATAAAGATGTTTTATTACTCGAATATATTTTTTTTTTAAAATTTGTAAAATTTATACAAGAGAGATTCTTAAGCTTTTAAAATTATTATGTTCATTTGCCTGACATAAGCTTACATTATCAAAATTTTATAATTCTTAATAATAAAGAAAAATAGTGACGGTTGTAGTTTAGTGTAAATTTAAGATCGTTAAACATTTTTCACTCAAACAATTTTTTAGCGCCAGTCGAAATTGAAATGAATCTATTACAGATATACAAAATTTCGTAACAATAAAAATGGGAACTTTTACAAGGTATTTGATGCTAACCAAAATGTACCGTAATTCCAAAAGTACTGCGCTATTAATACATATTTAAAAATCCACTTACAAGCGCTTAAAACCCAAATTAGTGTGAATAATGAACTAAATATTTGTGTATGTATGTGTTTGCGTATGTGTTCACATTAGTAAATTGCCCAACTAGCATATTTCTCCATTTTAATTATTCAAGTATGCATGTATATAAGTTATTTGTTTGCAAGTAAATTAAACAGTAAATTTAATTAAAAGTCCAAATAAATACCAATGCGTGTACGTTGCGCTATTTTTTTATTGTTATTGTAGTTGTTTTGGCATTTTATAGCATTTTCAACTCATTTGTTTCGACAAACCACATTTTAAATGAGCAAACCAACCATGTGATCATTTGGTCAGCGCATAACACACGCACCCACACACACACATATGCATATATGCTGTTTATTAGAATATACCAATATACCACACAATGCTTCCGCTTCGTCATTTACAAATACATATACAAGTATAGTGGCAAAGCAGAGGTGGGGGTGGGGGCAGCATTTTTTTCAACACTTTTCAGCCCGTGACATCCTTGCTATCGCTGCCATTGGCCTGTGGCATTTGATTAATAGTATTTTAAATGCGTTGCCACTTAGAAATAACTGTAAACGAAAAAATGGCTGACAGGGCATACAGCATTTTATGGCATTCCAAAGGCGTTGGGGCCTATTATTGGTGCGTTGGTGTGAGTTAACGCTTGTAATGGAAAAAATATGCTGCAACATGTGTATGCATGTAAGTACGTGTATGTATGTTTGTTTGTGTTCATGTAAATTATTGCTTGTCATTGGGCGCTAGAAGAATTTATTGACAAAAATTAAATTTATTCATTTTCATTTCATTGCATTTCAAGTGAGTGGTAATCCAATTAAATCGCATTAGTAAT